GGGTAATTTGTGGTGAGACGCAAAAAATGCTCAAATTCCTAAATTAATCAATGTTTTGTTTGAAAATTCAATAAAACATTATCTTCTCTTAATGCAGCAACAAGTAATAACGAGCTAAGAAAAAAAAACTACTCTAAGGGCAAAGTGGCTTCAAACTATGAGACAACAGCATCTGACCCTTAAGATGCTAAAACTAGCTTAGCATCTTAAGCTAGCTTTAGCATAAGATGCTAATGGACAGATAGGCGTTCTTCCTATTTGCCGGAAACATTTTGTCCACTCAACCTTAGGTCAGACTCTTGTAAAGGTGGTTTTTGTTGTTGTTCCTGCCTGCTCTCAGCTCAGTGGGAGTGTGATGACCATGTACAGCGGGGACTTCGTGGAGGTTCAGGGAACCATCCAGTTCTCCATCAACTACGTCCAAAGGCTACGGGAGTTTCACATCTTCGTGGCGGAGTGCCGCGACCTGGCCGCGGTCGACCCGAAGAGGAACCGCTCCGACCCGTCAGTTCCGCACCCGTTCTTCTTTCCAACCAGTCACTTTTGACCGCTAGCATGCAGCACGTTAGCCAGTTAGCAGTTAAAGATATTGGGCTACATGTAGGCCTCAAACTCCACACTACTGACTCAAACACACCAGTTAACAATTGTGGGTTTTCTTTCGTAATACGAAATATATATAGATAAATTAAACTTTATCTTTATGTTGCTCTGTTTTTTTAAAGGTACGTCAAAAGTTACCTGGTTCCCGACAAGGCCAATCTGGGAAAGAGGAAAACGTCTGTAAAGAAAAAGACACTGAATCCGACTTTCAACGAGATCCTCCGGGTACGCCCGAGCACCCAGTCAGGTTGTTGTTCTGTTGTTTTTGTTCTCACAACAAAGGCGTCTCTCCTGTCCGCACAGTATCGTGTTCGCATGGAGTACCTCCGGACACAGACGCTCATTCTCTCCGTCTGGCACCACGACACTTTTGGGAAGAACAGCTTCCTGGGCGAGGTGGACGTGGAGCTCTCCAAGTGGGACGTCGACCACACCCAGATGAATCACTTGGCGCTGAAAGCTCGGGTGAGCGCAAACGCACAGCGGCAGAAAGAGCTGCGCCGCCTCTTGTGGGTCATTCGTCCGACCCGCACTCTCGTTCCCCGACGGGCCGCTCATGTCGCACCTCCGCCTTTTTTTCAGACTCTGCCGTCCATTGCGCCGCCGAACGGGCGGGGAGAGATGAGGCTGGCGATCCGCTACCTACCGCCGATCACCCACAGCGAAGGTCTGCTCACTGTCACCCTGTTCTGCGTTGGGGATTGCTTGGTTAAAGTCTTTGGCTTCAAAAAGTCAGTGAGAATCATTAAAACTGAGGAAAGAGACCAGGATCGAAAGGAACTTTCTTGATTTTGTTAGCTTCTTGCACCTCTTTTGCCTGCTTACATAAACTTAATGCAGAAAGTAAGGAAAATCGTATTCTGTCTGTTTCTGACAGCTCAACAACAATAGGGAAATGTTTCATAATGTGGACGAAACAAGAAATTGGTATTTCTATGACTTTTCCCCCTAAGTCCTTATGCAAAATCTACAAGAGGCTTTTAAAAGTAGCTATCATTGGTCCCTATTTTGTTTCTAATAGAAAAACATTTTAGTTACACTTTGTTAGCTTTCAAAGTGAAACATTCTTTGTAGTATATATTTACAAAAATAGTTCTATTTTTTAGCTCATTTTGATTTCATGTCACAACAAGATCACAAATGTCTTCAAAGGGCCGGCTGTGGCAGAATGCGTTTCTAAAACCATCTATCAAACCGACATGGTGTACTCTGTTCAGCTTTCGGCAGCGGAAGCCGCTTCTCCAAAGTTTTGACTCATGGGGCTAAAAATAAATTCACACCACACTTTTCAGATTTACCAAAACAACGTAAAACCGTTTTCTTTCAGCCACCCACGCAAACGTTCCTTTTCTTCAAGGTTTGGCCAAAGATGTTTCCAGCAGCGGAGAGATTCACATTTGGGTGAAGGAATGCAAGAACCTCCCTTTAATCAGAGCCACCATCGACCCGTACGTCAAATGGTAGGCGGCAGATAAATAGTCTCAAACAAGGTTAGGCTTTTCACGTCTGATGTGTGAATTAAGCGCGCCCCGCCGCTCTCTCTCTCTCCCTCTCTTCCAGCTACGTGCTGCCGGACACGAGCAGGAAGAGCCGTCAGAAGACGCGCGTCCTGCGGAGGACCGTGGAGCCGGTGTTCAACCACACAATGGTGTACGACGGCATCGGCGAGGCCGATCTGACCGAGGCCTGCGTGGAGCTCACCGTGTGGGATCGAGACCGGCTCGCCAGCAACCTGCTGGGGGGGCTGAGGCTCGGCGCCGGGACAGGTGACCATCGACTGATCGGTGAACGTGTCCAAAGCTTTTCTTTGGACATCGGCTGCTTTTTTTTTGTTCCATGCGGTCGTTGCAACCTCAAACTGAGGTAAATTGGTAGGAAATAGCTAAAAGAAGAAGTGTTTCAGGCTCTTACTGTGTCCTGATTGCCAACAAAAATCAGAGTCTTACCAGACACAAATATGTTAGTCCACTTGAAACGAGACAAAACTTACAAGTAACTTTCCAGAAAGAGAAAAGCTTGTTTTCGGTCAATGACAGGACACTTTCCCTTTATAATATGTTAAAAAATAAATAAATAAAAATGATTATTCCACTGGTAGATTATTTCACTTGTAGCTAACACTTTTTTTTAAACTTCTTTTTATCAATATTAAGAACTTATTGACTTAAAACAAGCTCCTGAAAAGTTACTTGTGAGTAAGTTTCTTTCCTAATTCAAGTTTAATAAGACATTTGCATTAGAACTTAGACCAATAATAGTAAAAAAAAAATAACAAAAAGACAAGAAAGAAAGAAAAAAAAAACAACCAGAATGAGCAAAAATATAATTTTTTACTCAAGTCTTTCTCTTATGGCTTTTTTTCTGCTATCTGTATTTATTTATTCGTTTAATTTTTTGTTCAATTATGACTTTAAATGTATCTCTATCATTGTATGGAGTTTATGGTTAACGTGTGTCAATTGGTTTTTCTCATGTGGCATTTTCGCAACAAATGTTTCATTTACTCTGTTTGTTGGTGACTATTTTGGGTTGTATTCATTGTTTTCCTGACACATTTGGACAGTTTCACACGTCCTCGTAAATGAGGTGCACGCAGATGAACTCACTTGTGGTCACTGCCAGAAAAGAAAACGCTGATTCGTACCGTAACCAAATTTTGCTGCATCAGATTTCAGAAAAGACGTCAGAAACCTGAAACCGAGAAGAAGCTCTGACCTATTTAGGATCTGAATTATATCTTGAGATCAAATAGGTGAGAGAAAGGAAACTCTCAACCATTGGTGTTAAACTCGAGGCCCGGGGGCCAAATCTGGCCCGCCTTAGCTTTTTATGTGGCCTTTTAGATTCTGGACTGGACACCAAGTGTGCTCAAATCAATCAAATTAATCAAATCAATGCAGTTTTTTTTTCTGTTTACTGCCAAATTATATCAATCAGTCGATCCAGTTTCTTGCGAATTATTGTGGAAATTCATGCAAATTCAACAAATCTCCGTACTTCATTGCACAAATACATAATTGGAAGTTTATTGCAGTTCCTGCAATAAACATCATCCTGGATGGATGAAAAGAATTCATTAATATTTCTAACAGTTTAGTGGGTTTTATCAATACATCCTGGCACAGCTCGTCCTTTAAGAGCATTTCTAATCATGATTTGGTTTCTCTTCCTCCTCGCAGGGAGTAGCTACGGCGCTCTGGTGGACTGGATGGATTCTGGCCCGTATGAGGTGGCGCTCTGGGACCGCATGATGGCTTCTCCCAGTGAATGGGTGGAGGACGTGCTGCCGCTGAGAATGCTGAGCTCTGCTAGAACAGCTCTAAAATAAAATGCGCCCGACTGCTGCAGGAAGTATTTATTTCCACTGACAAAAAACCTGGTTGAATTATTGTCGAGCTGAAACCATACATTTAAGTTTGAACAATTTGACTTTGTGATGCAGAAAAAGCAAACTCTCTTTCTGCAGTAAGAGTGTAAAACAAATGTCAAAATGAATGATACGGACCCTGACGTCTCTTCACATTAAAGGTAAAAAGATCTTTTTGTTGTATTTTATTGGAGAATTTTAAAGCTTTGGCTGTGAAATTAAATTTTCACATTTTTATGCTAAGAATCCTGATGAAATACACTGGGTCGGGAATTTAGTTATGTTTAGCCCTCGCAATGGGACTCCTTAACTTTGAGTGTTATGTTACAGATATTCCACTTTGAGTCATGAAATTTAGGGAAGTTGCATCCATAGAGGCGTCTTATATGTTGATGTTTCCAAAATCTGCAATCTACACCCTGTAAAACCACAACCTGTTGTTTGATACCAATAAAATTTATAATTTCCTGTTTTACATTTGTATGTTTTTGTGTGTGTGTGTGTGTGTTCCCTGGAGTGAAACAGCGAGTAGAAATGACTTGCATTAAAACTTTAATCACATCAGTTGCAACTCCTGAACATGGATCACGTCAGAACAGCGTTTCTTTTGACACAAGTTGTCCAGATCCAGATTGAGGAGTTTTTGGTTTTTTTAACCACACTGTGCCTGATTAAACATATTAGGAGACGTGGAGATGAATTATACTTTTAGTTGATTTCTGCAGCAAAATGAGATTTAATGCATATCAAAACGCATTCAACTGCCTACAAATGACTTGGCGAAAAAGGAAGAACCTGAAGATCAAATTTGAAATTGGTCTCCACAAATTTATGTCAAAACAGATCAGTTTTGTCCCAAGGCTTTCAATTATATTCAGATGTTTGAGCAGAAAAACTTTTTTGCTTGCTCATCTTTTCTTATAGTCTACTTACATACCCACCTTAAAAACAGGGAGAAATAAAAGAGTTTACACCAACAACTTGTCAAAATTGACGTGCTGTCCAAATTATTTTACATTTCACAAAGTGCTAAATCGCTTTTCTTTTTATTCCCAACAAAAACAAGACAATTACAATATTCCTGATTATAAAAGCTGTCAACTCTCATTAAATGCATGGAAATGATTCCAATATAATGATTATGACCGACATATAATTATAATGCACTGTTATTATACACCAGCTGAGCCCTTATTTTCCTCTTAACAAATAGTAAAACTGTATTAGCTGTAAATCTGCGTTTGAATCTCATGACTACCTGATCTAGTGTAAAATCCCGTCCCGCCCTGTTTTGCAGTTGATGTGCTGTGATTTATGATTGGCTTCATTCTTCGTAGGTTGACGTTGCCCCTCGCCGCCCCGCCCCTCCTCCAGGGCGTTTTACTCGTATTTCGTGGAACAAACGGCAAGCAGCAACGAGAACAGCAACGACGAGAAAGCCGATGCAACACTTTCAGCCGATGAAGCTGCAAGAGAAGAAATAGAGAAAAAAATACAGTGAGCCACCTTAAACACGAACATCGGTTGTATGGCAGGTTCTCACTTTGAGAAGTCGACGTACTTTCATCATCTTAAAAAAAACAAAAAGGAATAAAAGAAATATATTCAGAATTCAACACATTAGTCCATATCATTCAAACAGTTTTGACATAGTCAAGTTAAACCTGGGAAAGTTATGTGTTTTTTTTTTAAAAAACACATAATTAATCCCATCTACTTATAGATGGGATTAAACAGGAAAAACAGTACTTTAGGAAATCCTTTCATAAGTCACTCAAATAATAAGCACATTGTGAAAACCGCTGGGGTGTGAAAACCTCAGCGGAATGGAAAAAGGATCTGTCCAATGGGAACCGCTCAATGTGTCAAAAGGCACAAATATTAAAGGAAGTGAAATTCTGCATTTTGATATTTTGGCTTTGCTTTGGCTTCGGTTCGGTGCAGAGTTTTGTTGGGATGCCGGTACTGCAGCAAGGAAGAGTGAGACAGGGATGTTGACTTCACAGGAAGTTAATCCCGAGTTTAATGTCTTCCTCTCGGCTCCTATGATAGGACACTTGTTTTAATACATCAAAGGAGCATCAAACCCGCTTTGGTGGTTCCCACCGCGTTCCGAAAGAGTGGATCCGAGCCGGATTCAGGACGTGGCTCACATCTAACTCAAAAACATCTGATGTAGACCAGACCTGAGTGTTTACACTTCTAAAAACTCTGACCTTGTCACCATGAGCCTCTGCTCACTCAGAAAAAAAAATTGATTTGGCTCAAATTTGCCTGCAGTGTAAATATTGGAACTTTCCCAGAGCTTCTCAGGTGAATTCACAAAGTACTTTCCAAAGATAAAGTACTAGTTAGTAGAACTAACTGGTACCTCCCCAGGACTCACCAGGTACTTGGAACGATTCACCAGTCAGTTTTGTAAAGCGTAACCTTAAGGTTTAGGAAGGTTCCGTTTCCAGAAAAGTACCTTGCAAGTTCCCAGAAATTCTCTAGAAAGTACTTGGTTAGTTCCACAAACTTTACTTGTAAGCTTTACTCTCCACCTGCACCTGGCAAGTTGTGTGTGTGTGTTGTGTGACGCTACCAAAAAATGTTATTCCGAAATTTCACAGCTGTACATTTTCTTCTTTTGTGACTTTGTTTCTGATGGTGTTGGAGGAACAGACATATGTATTAGTTAAAGACCCACCAGCGGTCTGTTGGCCGACGAGTATCTGCTGAGAGGTGATCGTAGCGTTGGCCGGCACATCCGTAGCGGCTCTCCGTCTGCGGTTTCCACCACTACAGACCTGTCGTGAAGAAATAACAGAAAAACTCAAACCCACTTAAAGTAAAATCTTCCCGCAAGGCTGCACACGAGTTGGCTTACAGGCAGTAAGGATCTGCAGGTGCTTGTCTCACACAGTCTGGTGACGCAGTGCAGGTAGAAAGTGGAAACTGTCAGATTCTTGTGCTCTATAAATCTGAAGGCCTCAAAGGAGAACTGAGCTTTCTGCGAAACGCCGTTTTCCTCCACTTTGGTCTGCGGGTCTTTATAACACCTGGGGTGTGTCAAGAACAGAGTTCCCAAGAGGGTTGAATGTCATGTAAGTAAAAAGAAAGTCTCTCGTATCGGGCATGTAACTCACCCGACAAAGAGGTCGTAATATTGGGTCTGCATGGGAAAAGGACTTGTGGTAGTGTAGCATCGGTCCAGCAGCAAGTTGAACCTTTAGAGGAGCAGAGTCACACTTTAAGTAGTTTGTTCTCCTTTAGCACAGATGTGGCCGGTTTAGATTTAAATGATCAAAGTTTTAATACTTTTCTGTCAGGTTGGTTGCTTTTACTGAAACGTAGATCTTGGTTTTCAGGTTGAGTCCTGTTGGGGGAATTGTAAGCGGGTTCTTGTATCCTGCGTCCTGTTTTGGGAAAAAGACACATAAAAAAAGATAGAATCAAGTAAAAAAAAAAAAAATTTGTATTTAAAAAAATTTTTGAAATGAGACTAGCTCTTACTTGGTAGAGCTTCATACTCAGGGTACTGATGAAGCTGCCATTGTTGTCTCGTATGGCAACGTTGACACCCGATCTGCATGGATAGAATACACACAGGGGCTTTTGATAAAGTTAAGATCTTTATCTTAAGAGGTGCTAAAATTGTCTGGTTTTATGTGTCTGTGGTTTGATGTCATTTTCATGAGATGCCTAAAAATGTGTGAGTGACAGGAATTTTGTTCGCAGCATTGGCCATAGTGCTACAACGGAAGAAGCAAATAAATGATTGATTTCCATTAAAACTGAAAATGTATACATAATCATTTGGATGATTTGTTTTGGAACACATAAGCTCCTGGCATTCAGCTAAAACGCTCTGAGTTATGCCGTTGTTCCACATTCCCAGTTTCTGCTTAAGTCGTGCCAGTTTTGGAGCCTTCACATGATCATTTTCTGTAAATTACTTACTAGTTCTTGTGCTGCATTGTGACATGAAATGATTTTGATAGTCTCTGTAAGTTACCAAAGAGGCGACCCTCATCACTGTTGCTGCAGGAGGTAAGCTTCAGATCAATGAGATTGATTTGAACAGCTTTAGCACCGACTGTGGCAGATAAAGCTGGCATATAAAATAAATTCACAACAAACCTGGGCACGTTATTTGACTGTGAAATGTTACAAATGAATGAATTGATAATGCATGAATAGTTGTTCATGCATTACATAATTAAAACAGATTGATGAATGAATACCTGCTGTGCTCAGAATGATTTTAATAAAGCTTACTGAAAATTTATGAAGTGTTGCAGCAGGTCACCATAAAAACAATTATATATTGAAACAATTTCCATCATAGAAACAGATCTAATCAATTATCTACTCATTTGTAGCATTTAACTGATCGCTGAATATATATATTTTTTTGTTTGTGACCGTGAAGCAATTTAAAAGAAAAAAAAACTAACTTATGTATGCGTTTTAAAATTACACACTTGTTTATTAATTTTATATTCTGTAACCCAATTTGTTTCATTGCCATTTTTAAATAATTCATTTGAGCAATTGTTGTTGCAAGGTAAATTTTATTTTATTGGATTGTCATAATATTTCAGCAGCAGTGTTGATTAGTTTTTTTTTTTTGTTTCGTTTTTGTATATTTTAAGACTAAAGCGACTAACATCATGTTCCATGATTCTGGGCCTCCCGTGTGTGCTCTACAGATACGGCGGCTGTCTCCTTGCTGTACTCACACGCTGAGCTGAGTGTTGTTGAGCAGGTACTGCATTGGGTACTTGCAGGAGAAGATGTAGGAGATCTGCGGTCGGTAGGTGATCATGCCAGCGGACGGGTCGACAGACATGACCATGCCTGAGATGTTGACAAACTCCACTTTGGAGTAGTCTGCAAATTCTCCGGTTCCAACCTGATTGGTTATCTGTTAAATAATAATAATAATGATGACAATAAATAGAGCAGAACATAAACATTTTGCAAATATTTTACAATTAAAGCCGTCGCAGAGGTCTTAGCCAGAGGCTCAGGAGGAGCATGGCAAATGTCACGATCGGACATCTGGGAAAAGGGGGATAGTCCCATCAGGCCATTAATTTCCCAAACCACGCAGGAGGGTCGAATCCTTTTCCTCTACTCCGATTCACTTAAAAAGTAGTGGATTCAAACAACATAGGCAGGTGAAGAGATTTAAATACCTTGAAGTTGTTGTTGCAGTCTGACAGGGAAGTTTCATTTATGAGGAATCTAAATTTTAAAACTGGCGGAGTGACATTCCAGTCGGCTTTTCCGTAGCACTTCGGGTTGTTGAACTGATTGTTGAGCACCATCAGGGACTCGTTGTACCGAGCGTTATACATAGGACAAATGTAGATGCAGAGGTCCATGTATTGGGTGCCACATGTTACGTTTATGTCAGTATTTTCTGAGAGAAAGAGAAAAAAAACACTGAGGGGGGATGCAAATTAAAGCGAAGACAACTTAAAAAAAAAAACAAAAAGCAGCAATCCATCCGAGAAAATGAGTCTAACCTGGTTCTCTATATGTGGGGCTGGTAAGGCATGCGTCTGGGACCTGGGCATCGGCCTGCAGAAACAGGCCGAGCTGCCACACGAGGATGACCAGCATCAGCGTGGATCTGTGAGAAAGCAGCAAAAGCAATCAGAAAAAAACTTTTCAAAAACTGTAGATGCCTGGGAGTCTAAAAATGCCCTTTTTAAGAGGTCTTTTTGTCTTTTTCAGAAAAAAAAAAAAACAGTTTCTGGACATTCTGTGACTCAGAAGAAAAACTGAATTAAGAAAAATTCCCAGACTCACCTGTATGTCCTCATCTTGCGTCTGCTCTCCTCCGTGGATGGATCCCTCCATTTATAGCGCTGGCTCCACATTCGTGTGAGCACCAGCACAATGGAGTAACCTGAACCGGGCTTTCAATTTCATTTTTCATAATAGCTGACGTAGGGTTTTGATTTTAGGGCCAAAATCAAAATAATCACAGAATAATTCATTTCATTTCAGAAATTAAGGATTCTATGGATAATTAATTTCTTGAGTGAAAAGTTTTGGACATTGATTTTTTTATTATTTTTTTTAAATCGCTTTGTTAAGCCTAAGACACTTCAGAAAGATATGTATTTTTTATTTTATAAGAACTGTATAATTGTTGACATATAAACAGGTGGCATTAAGATGTGGTCATAATGGAGGATCATCTCTGAAACATACCGCAAAATCTTCTTCTGCCCAAATTAGTAAATGATCTTAGGCGTAAAGCGAAGAGACCCCAGGATATCCATGAACATCATTCAAACAATAAACTCTCCACCAGGACACCCTTACATGCTCCAAATCTAATTTTAAATTACAGATCTATCAAATATCTGGATCAGTGATCGGATATCAGGTATTTATCTTTCCAATTTTTTTTTTCAAACAATAAAAGTCTCTACATTGACTTTGTGGAAGCGAATTGTTCGTGTTTTTTTTGTTGTGGCCTCAGGCTCGGAACCTTAAATAGAAAAATGTCCCCGCTGTTTTGTGCAATCTGGGAACAAACACGACACACCTATTTGAAAAGGTATCCCAACACTTTTGTGGAGCATCCTGACCCAAAAAAAAAAATTTTTAATGAAAAAGGAATCACAAGTTCCCCGAAGGACACAGGCATAATACTGACGCGAGGACGCGGCCTGAATAAGGGTTCCCAGTGGATTACTCGGGGCGTATCAAACACTGGATTTGGTGTCTCTGTTATTATTGATAAACAGCATTTGTCTCGCAGTGATGCCATTTGTGTCAGCGCTGACACAGAACTTGGTGCCAAAAGCGTTCAATGCGGTGACCTTAGGGAGAGAGCAATAAAGGAGAACAGGCTGTGCACCGTGTGGGTCAGGACCCGTACCCAAAGGTCGACGCATGTTTTCCAAGAACTCTGTGTCCCATGACTGGTTTCAGCAGAGCCAAACTCTTGATGAAACACTGAAACACGTCTGTTAAGTCCTTACATAAAAACATATAACCACAAATTGGGACAAATTTATTAAAGCTTCAGAGCCACCAGTGGCTCCTTGAGCCTCCCGTAAATGTCTCCTCATGTTTTTGGCTAAAAAATTTAAATAGAATTAACTCATGTTGATAGCTTTAATAACAAATTCAGATTTTTAGTAGTTTTTACCCTTTTTTAATGTAAAAATGTTATCAAATTTTCACGGCAGAGAAGCCGCTGTTTTTTGTCTTTTTTTTTTTACATAATTTTTTTTCTATAGATTTGAAACTTGTAATCATGTCGGTTTTATTTATCATCCAGACAAAAATGTATCTGTCCTTTTTTTTTCTTTTACAAAATGATATTTTTCTGTATTTTAAAACCTAAAAAAAGAAATTTGTTTTGTTTTTTTTCAAAAATGGCTATAAAATTCCTAGTAGATATGTTTTTTTTCTGAATTAGTTTTATTTCGTTGACTCTTTGGATTGTAAAGTTGCAGACCTCTGTTTTAGATGACAAAAACTGTGCCGTAATACATGTGTTTTTTAGGGCAGGTTTCATTCTTGCTTTGACAACCAACAAATTCAGATATTTTTTGTGCTTTGCTATAATAAAATGGGCTAGTATGAATTTAATAAAAACCATCTACAAGTTGAAAGTCGCTCAGTGTAGTTTTAGTTTGACCAGAGGCCAAAATCTTTTGCATTTCATGAAAGTGGTCTCATGCAAGAAATAAAATGAAATAGAAAATCGATCTAAACCAAACTCATCAGAAATAAGGCTCAATATAGAACATTTAGAAAACAAAATATGACAAGTGCATATTAAACATGATACTCTTTCTGCATCATTTTTAATTTAGCAACTTATTTTCAACATGGATTTAATCATTCATCCTCAGCCACACCTGTTAAAATATAGTTAAAGGTGTTCTTTTTTCAGTAACAATTAATTACTTTTAAAATAAATGTAGCATATTTTGAAAGGATTAATATCATTTAAGCTTTTTCACATTTAGTCTTCTATTTTTGTGATGAGGAAGAAAATGTGATTCTTTTTTTAAACCGTAGAAACCTGACTAGTATGGCTTACATTTGTATTCATTCTGCATATAAGGATGCCCCTAAATTGTGGTTTGCAGTCGGCTTCAAGGGAGGTTTTCCACGTCCCCTACTGGTTTGCAATGAAGGCTCTTAGAGTCCTGTTGATGTTGTACATCTCTGAGCATTCAACAATTCAAGAGTGTGGCATTGAGTCATAGACTTTCTTATAATCCATCACAAGTTGGTGTGTCGAGCTTTGCAGTCTTGGGCGACTGTGTGGTGTTTGGCTCCTCTGCTATATATGGCGATGCCCTTCAGTTAACCATTCAGGGTGAGTCCCATTTTGTAGCAGCTGGTTTATTTGTGCTGCCAGTCACTCATGGAGGGCAGTGAGTTTCTTTAGCCAGTAGACATGGATCATGTCTGGGCCTCTCCAGTTTTTCATACCTCAGATCATTGTGATAGTTACCGGGGCTTGCTCAGGAAAGTTGCTATGGTCATCTCGTATCCACTGTGCATTGCTGTTGTGGGACGTCTCCCTTTCCTATCTTTCCAATATTGTTCAGTGGATCTGCTCTGTTGTTATCACCCTGCCATTGAGAGTACACTTTAGCTGGTTGGGTGGAGAAAAGCCAGTTAATCCTCCTGGCTTCATTCTCTCTCGTGTATCTCTTTCAGCGGCTGGCCAAGGCTTGGAGCCTTTGTTTGGCAGTTTCGAGTGCTTCAGCATGGGCATCTGGCTGTACTTCTTGGGTACTGGTCTTTTCATCACATCTCTTTGGAGCTCTGACAATTGGCTCACTTCCCTTCTTGCTACCTTGATTCTAGCCTCTAACCCTTTTAGCTCAATAAAGTTCTTTTGAATTTGCTTTGAATGTTAGAGACTAAAACGGTGTTTTGTATTTACATAAGGGTCTTTGGGAGGCTTTCTACTCCCAAATTTTTCCATGCATACACACATGCGTGGAAAAGTTTTCCATGCATCTATGTTGCTTTTTTTGACACCAGCTTCACATTTCATTAAAAAAAATGACATAATAAAATAACCAATCTCATGTGTCCATAAATCTGACCTTTTTAACAAGAATGGAAATAGGAGATACATTAGACGTTCATCGGCATCAAGAACAAGTATAGAGGATGACAAAGAAACAAGAATGCTGCTTGGGGTTGTGTTATGTACTCCCGTGACGGAACGGTCAGTTCAATGCACATTCATAAGAGAGCCTCGGGGGAGCATAGCTCAAAATATGTCAACATTTTGCAACAGTACACAGACTAAGTGCTCTCATGATGTGACAATGATGCCTTTGTTGCTTCTCAGAAAATGTGGGTACATTGTTTTGCTGTTTGGATGCCTCATTATTAAAAACTTTTATGGGTAAAAAAAAGCAATTGACAGTAGAGTTTTATGTGTTTTCCGCTCCATGGATTAATGGTCTTATTAAAGTGCATTTTGCTCGCGTATCATTTTTTACTTTTGTATCGTCGCAGATCGCATTCCTCTTTCTTTCTGCTTCACTTGTACAGGGTCACATTGAGCAAAAGGTATTGAATTTTTTACATTTTAAAAAACAATAGGGATTCAAGCAACTATTGACTGTGGGTAGAGCTTGTTGTACTGTGAGTCATAGCTGAAAATCTATCCAACACGTCAAGTAGCACCAGTAACATTGAAGAAGCTCTCGATTTCAAAACATTATATCACGACACATGTTCTGCATTGTAAAGGTAAGCCAATCCTGAGAGTAGACCTAAAATTTGATCATCTCTGACCCCGATGTTTCCTTTTTACCCAACCTCAGCATTTGTTCGTATATGAATCGGGAGGGAGTATGTTTCCAGCACTTAAAGGTCTGGGAAACTTTTGTAATCTACTTTCAGAGTGTATAATAAAAATAACAAATATTGCATTGCATAGGTTTTGTGTTTTTTGGTTCGTCGCGTCTAGTGCTTTTTTAAAATGATCAATCCAACGTTAAAGGTGAACAGATGAACCTCCCTGAATTTTAAATAGTCCACTCCAGATGTAAAAATTCAACTGAAAATTGATGTGAAAAACTCAAAAATGAATGTTCACAATTTAACCAGATTGAGTTTGAACTATTTTGAAAAGATTATTGGGAATAGTTTTAGTCTCCGAGGTTAGAAACCAAAGGAATTGCAGCCGTAATTCCATGAAGAAGCGCTTCTTGGTTTTGCAGTGGTTTTGTGGAAATAAGTGAAAATGATGCAAGTTTTTCATTCCACTTACTAACATGCACTACTTTGTTTTGGACCGTCACATAAAATCCAACAAAGTTTGTGACTGTAACTTGGCAAATGTGGAAACGTCCAGAGGGTGTGAATACGTTTGCGTGACACAGGTTCAACGTCAAAGAGCTAAAAACACTCTTCCATTTGGGTTTGGTTTTTTCAATTTGTTAGTGGATTTTTGTTGCTCATAAATTCTACAAAATGACATTCAAAACTGAAGCATTAAAAAGAAAAGTTATTTGCACCTTTGTTGAATCAAAAGTTTACTGTTTCAAGAACAGAAAATTACAAAGCCACTGGAAAAGGTTACGCAAACATTTTCACACATAAAACCATTATCTCATACATAACACTGTGATAAACCTTCTCGGGAGTAGTTAACCTATCCAAATTACTCCAAAAGCCAATTGGCAACTCATCAGAAAGGTAACGAAAGAACCCAGAAGAAGATCTAAAGTGCTGCAAGGCTCACTTGCCTCTGTCAATCTAAGTGTTCATGATTCCAAGATACCAAATGAGCGAAAATGGCAATAATCAGAGAGTTTCTAAGCCAAAACCACAGCTGAGCACAAAGACCTACTGGC